GCACCCACACGTGCACACGTGTATCAAAGCACACGTGCCAGCGTGCCCCACACAGTCACCCGTGCACACGTGTGTCAAAGCGTATATGCGAGCGTACCCCACACACACTCACATGTGTGTCCAAGCGCACGTGCGAGCGTGCCCCACGCACCCACACGTGCACACGCGTGTCCAAAGTGCACATGCGACCATGCCCCCCACATGCGTGCACACGTGTACACTCACGCGTGCACATGTGTGTCCAAGCGCACGTGCGAGCGTGGCTCACGCACACTCACACGTGCACACGTGTGAGGTTGCCCTATTATTTTTACACACATTTTATTGTTCATATTGCATAGTTATTTATATACCAATGTTGAATACCTATCTTTCGATGTTGAATAATTCCCAACATCATTAAATGAAAACGAAATGTAAATATATTCTATTAATCAGCAATTTATAATCACATGTAGTTAGATGGCTTGATGGTTATGAGTTTGATTTTTTTACACTAGGTCACAAGGTCGAATCCCCTTGGGCACCCCCTTGGGCATGTGTTGCATTTGAATCCCCTCAGGCATGTGTTGCATTTTTGTTGTGTATAATTGTGGTTGGTATAAATATTTTTGTTGTTTTTGAATCTCCTTGGGCATGTGTTGCATTTTTTTTGTATATATAGTGGTTGGTATAAATATAAATATTTTTGTTGTGTATATAGTGGTTGGTATAAATATAAATATTTTTGTAAATAATATAAAAGACATAAAAAAATGAAAAATAAAAAAATTAATTTTTTATATAACAATTAATTTTTGTTGTATATAGTGGTATAATTATTTTAGTAAATAATATGAAAGGTATAAAAAAAACAAAAATAAAAAGTTTATTCTATTTGAAATCTCCATCTTTCTACTAACAATCTCTTTTACTAAATTTATTATAGAAACCTAAAAAAATACATTTTTGAAAAATTGAAGTGTTATTTCCAAAATTTGTACACATTTTATTAATTTTTACATTGATAACCAAATCTTTTATTTTATTTATGAATTTTTACATTATAAATCATGTAATGTACTATTTTTCTTATCGTTGTCAATAGTACATTTTAAATTAGATAATATTATAAAATATTTTTAATTTGTTATTATTTATCTAATAAAATAATTATAAAATATAAACTAATAATTATAATTTCAATATATAATATTATAATTAGTGAGGTTGTAATAATTTTGGATTATAGTTAGTTAGGCTGTAATAGTTTGGGTTTTTTTAGCGGTTTAGGGTCTTTCGCCAAAACGAGATTTTAATGGCCATTCTTTCATTGATTAGTCTACTCTTTATAATAGTCCATATATAATTATATACTTTATCCATGATAATTCTATGATTTTTCTTTTATGTGATGCAAATTTAACATAAAATAAATTTATACAGGGAAAGAACATCGCAATATTCACAAATTGATAAAAAAAATGAAAGTTAATAATGTAGTACCCTCATTTTTTATTAGATTCATAAAAAACAACATTTATAATAAATTTTAATAATTTTTTCGGATTTTTTCGAAGCTTTAATCCCACCGATTCCTGATCCGAATCGCCGATTCGCCGATCTGGATCGGTTTTTGAGGTGCCTGATCTGGGTCACCGATCCGCTTTTTAAACCATTGCTTAGATCTAACCCTCAACACATAGTCAAATACACGAAACATGCAAATTTTTATATTTATTTACTCTAATGAGCTTGGTTGCGCATTTTGAAAGTTTATATCCCCCAAATTTTGGGGAGTTGAAACTACTCCTGGCTTGGGTTATGGAGGGATGAGAGCAAATGGACATGCACCCACAAAAGTAACACATATGTTCTCTAAATGTTTTGTAAGTTGAGGAATTGTATGCTATAAGACCACTCGTTTTTTTTGTATAAAGTGGTCACAATCATTCTCGGGATGTAAATTCTAATGAATTGAAGCATATAACCGCCTACTAAAAGTTGGACTCTGTGCCCCAATCAATAACGCATCTCCAACCATCCAATTTTTCATTTAACGGTAAAAAAAGAGCGTGAGTTCCCTATACCAAAATAAATAGTATCGTTGTTTGCATTTCCATGGTTTAAAAATAAATACCCCATGGCAACAAACCAAACGTTTGTCATTTGGAAAGACTCTAAAACAAGGTTCCCATAGATATCAAGAGTATTCAATAGTCCATAGTATACGATTAGGAATTTTTATCATTCACTGAGAGGACACGCGGCGAAGACCCTAGAAAGATAAAATGGTAGGGAAAGATTCAAAATCATATGAAAGTTAACACGAATATAATTAGGAGTACTTATTCCATTTTAGGGAGAGAGAAGATACCAAAATACACATAGAGAGAGAAAATGTAGAAAAGGCAAAGCGTCTTGATCTATTTAATTAATTTTAACTAGGCAGAATATACCAACAATAATGGAGGGATTAAGTTTAAAAGTCATCAAAAGATGACTCAAATGACTGTCAAGACTAAAATGATTAGATGTAACCCAAATGATTAGAATACTTAATCCATCTTAGACAAAAACTACCAAATAAGGCTCGTCATAGAGAGAATGAAAATGTCATCCGAGTCTAGTTCTTCGAAAAAACTTAGGAAACTACAGGGTTCTTCGAAAATTCTAAAAAAATCGGCAGCAGAGATTTTTCAAAAAAAATACGGAGAAAGTTATCAAATGCACCCTAAAACTCAGCTTAGCGATTGAAAAGTTGTCTCCCAAGATAATATATGAGATTGGAAGCTTGAGAAAAAGATAGAAGTAGAAAATCGGACCCTTGTTTAGTAGCCTATTTGTGAAAATCGAAAAAAATTCAGGCTAAATAAAGCTTGGCAGAGAGAGATTAAGAGGTCGTGAGGTCACAAGAATAAAAAGGAGGTGGGGTGGGTACCGCATTCCTCCCATTTTCCTGATAAATTGGCAATGCACTATTTAGGAATTTTCCCCAAAATTGGGGGAAAACATGAAAACATGGAGAAATGCGGGGCTGCACATTTATACGAAAGTTTTAGAGAGTGGAAATAATTGATCAAGAGTGTCTTTGGATGATATTTAATATTATAAAGAGTAGATTATTTATATGGAATTAAAAAAATTTACATAATTATATTATATTGTCGGTTCTCAAGTACCTATATTGTATTATATAATATTATCTAAATTGTTGAATTTCAGGAATTTTCGACTATTTTAAATTATTTATTTTGAAACTTGTGATTTTGAAAAATTTACTTTGATAAATGTAAAAATAGCTAAAAATAAAAAAATTATATGTAAATCTGCCTACGAGTTTTCTCACATTATTGTACAAATAACTAAATTGTTGAAGTTCACGAAATTTCAACTATTTTAAATTATTTTTTTTAAAACTTGCGATTTTGAACAATTTATTTGATAAAAGTAAAATTAGCTAAATATAAAAAAAATTATATGTAAATCTGCCTACGAGTTTTCTCCAATAATTTTACAAATAACACTACCAAGTAATGTACATTTTCCTTATCAATATTAATTTGATTCAAAAGTTTAATTGTTTCTCAAAGAATTTTACAAATAACACTATAAGTAACGTACATTTCATTATCAAGTTTAATTTTATTAAAAAGTATAAATTTTAGTGATAACATGGTGAAATCGTCACTAATATCCTTGGATTTTGTATTTAGATGTTACAATCATTATTGTCCCTCAAATTTAAATATGGGTGGTTGTAAGAGTGTCATTTACAAACATAAAGTTATGAACAAAAAAAATTTATGACTTTATGAATCAACCCAATTCATTCAATTTGACATATATTGAGTGAGAATTATTGTGACATTCATGTGCAAAAGATAAATGGTCTTGATGCATCTCTTATTTTTTAGCATTGCAAAAAGTACTTCAATTTTTTTTGTAATTTACTCGTATACTTATTTTCCTTTATTTTTTATACATAAATTGCACATCTATGAGATTCGTAACAATTGACCTTGCTATGATTCGTGTGAAGAGTGTTAGGATTCTTTGAAGAGATTCAGTGTCCATTAATTAATATGTGAAGAGTCATAGGTTTCTCTAAATATAGTATCAATTAATTAATATGAATATACTAACTTATTTTATATAGACAAATACAGATGACAATAATATAAATAAATCACATATACATATATTATACATAAACTTACTACAAAATACAAGATATTGATTATAATATATATCTTCCATATTAATCTGGTAGACAATATATAATTTCCCTTCAAAATTCTAACAATTTCCCAGCAATTGACACTGCTATGGACCTACAAACCATTAGCAGCTACGATATAACATTATAGGAAGTGTCGAGCTTGCACTGCTCCAAACATCCCATGTCATTTTAGTCCTAACACAAAAAAAAGGTGTCCTTTGCATAAAGATGAAGCCCTAAACAATTAAAATAAGGCGCACCTTCAAATAGCATCAAAATATATTATTTCAGTGTTAGAAATCTATATGATGGCCTGGATTTTTATTTTTTGTCTCTTGTAAAATTCAGAGTTTAAAAAATAGTGTAGGTTGAGTAGATATAAGAACATTTTAGAATCTTGAAAATTGATAATCCAAAAAATCATTGTAATATGAACTATTTCGAATCTTTTTTTTTTTTATGTCCATACATATTGAAGTCGAAATGATCAATTTGAGGATTTTTGGGTATCGAAAAAGCCTCTTCTAATGAATTTTTGATATGCGCCTTAATTTGATTGTTTAGGCTTCACTCTTATATAAACTCTTTCCAACAAAAAAAAAAAAATGAGTATGTGAATAAATTTCAATTTTTTAAATATTTTATGATTTAGAAAACTAGATAAATACTACTGATAATTTCCGTTTCAGTACATCCAAACATGCCTTTGAGCTTTTCATCGGAAATGAAACCAAATAAAAGTGTTAATCATGTTTTTCACACTGCCTTAATATATGCACTGTTATGACATATTTATGAGAGAGTTACTTTCTCTCTCTACCCTTGACCTAGAATCCTAGATCTTTCCTCAAGTAACCTAAGAGCACCTTACTACAACTGCTCTCATGGCATATAGCATATAAGCCCTTGCCTTAGAGCCAACGGTTTGTGTCTTTCTCTCTCTGCGCTTCTCTCTTTTTCTCTCTATTTCTTCCATCGTTTTTTGTTCAAAACCCTTGAAAATGGCCGCCGCTCAACAGGCAACCGACCGTATCACCACGAATGGTACGTTTTATACCCTTTCTTCACTGTTATTTTCATTGGTTTTCAGTAAATTTTGGTGGCATGGGGTATTTCTTTCTCCTCTGTTATCCCTCATGAGATCCTCACCCCTGTTTCTCTCACCAAGGCGTGTTCTTGGTTGGTCTGATTGTTTTGAATATTTTGATGGTTTGCTTATGGCTTTTGATCTCTTTCTACCCACTTTGAGATCTTCAGCTCGTTCTCTTTCTAGCTCCGTGAAAGGACGAACTTCTGTGGCTTTCATAGGGATATTTTTCTTTATCGTTTGCTCTATTTTCGCTGGACTCAAATTGATTCTTGCTCAAAATTAAGGGATCATATATAAAAGAGGTTTATGGACCTTCTCTTTCTCTCTCTCTCTATCTCTCTCTACATAGGTTTCCTGCGGCTATATTGAATCTTGCTCTCATGGGTGTTATTGGTTTTGATTAAATATTTATTTTCCTAAAGAGGATTATTGGTGCATATTATTTCGGGGCAGTGATGAGGTCTGGATCTGTGATGCTTGAATACTTAGGGTTACTTTAGGATATGTGATCTGGAAATTCACTGTTCGTTTTGACAAGATTGATTGGAAAATATCAGTTGTTTGTGTGTGTTGAATTGTTTTTTGAGGAAATTATGAGGTTTGTTGGAGAAATTATTTGCGGGCTTGATTGGGTTGTAGAAGGTAGTGTACTAGCGATTTCACTGAGTTTCTTTGATTGAATAATTAATTTTTTTTGGCAAAAGATTGTATATTATGATGCTTTTTATCCTGCAGAAGTTTCTGTCTGCCCACCTATTTGTTTTCAGTAGAAACACCTGCTTGAATGCTCTTTCCCTCCTCACTCTCTTCACTCGACTCTGCGTTTCTTTGAAATGCTAAGGCTGTTTTTGTTATGGGAGAAGCTTGGAAATTGACTAGGAGGCATCGACAGGCCTTTTGATTAGTAAAATCCTACATCTCAGAAATGACCTTTAGTTACATTAAGAAGGCCTTTGGCATCACATTATACTTACATGAGTGCCATCTCATGGTTCATGCTATAAACTTTGGTAAATTTACAATGTTTAAGTCTCTGAGCACTCGTTTTTATATGGTCATATTAGAACCCATTGTGGTAGATTGCAGGTGTAGTCTTATCACCAGAATGAACCTCACACCCAGTCTGAATGGCCTGATCCATACTAAAAATTTTAGGACATTGATGACTATCTTATGGTAGTTGGCTATTCCTCAATCTCCATAAACGGTCCATGGGGAACTTACCATTCATATGGTTGATATTTGACTTAATAGAGGAGACACCAAATTGTCATTGTTTGTTGGTTTGTTTCTTGTTCATTTCATCTTTGTTATAGATAGGATAATAAAGCGGAATTTGTTTTTTTTTTTTTCATCAATTTATTTGGGCTTCTAGGTGGTGTGGAACGTGTGATTTCTCTTGTCTTTATATTGGTCTGGTTGTCAATGAATTATGACGAGGGCAAGGGGTCAATCTCCAGTTAAACTAGATGTGTTTTGGTACTAATTACTCAGGGGGTTAAGTGCCCTATATAGGCATACGCACTTGAGGAAGTGGAATTAAGACAACAAAGTCAATGTCATGATCATGAAACCAAGCTTGATGATTTGGAAGGAATTTCTTTAAACCATGTTTAAAGAAAACACTGTTCTTAAAGCTGAGTACAGTTGGTAGCGCACATGCAACTTGAATGTTGTGGAATCAAATATTCTTTGGGTCGGATTTGAATGGTAGTCGGATACATATTCTCTATGAAGATGATCACACATGTGATATATTTAGAAGGTTACTGATCTTTACGTATGACACTAGGAGACAAGCATTTCGAGAAAAATTATTATTGGACCTGGCATGAAAAAGCAAACTGGAACTGCTCATGGTGCCTGGGTGGCAATTTTTAAGATTTGCACATGAGAGAAGGGTTCGAAGAAACATAAATATTATGATATAAAGATGTTCTGAGTTTATGAACCTTCACAGTTTGATTGACTTTCCTTTAGGTGATTTTAAGTTTACCTGGACAAATAGCAAATCTGACCCAGTCATGGTGGGGAATGATAGGCTTTTGGTAATGTGGATTGTTGTGAAAAGTGTCCAGAACCATCCTAAGGACATTGCCTTAGCCTTCTTCAGACCACTCCTCTTTCACTTTATGCATTCCAGCTCTTTGGTGCATTTTCCAGTTAGATATAAACATATGCGTTTGAACACCTCAATTTATAGAAGGTGATAAAACGGTGGAGTGGTCCTCAGGTCCAAGGATGGACTGTCAACAAAAAATTTTGAAATGTGAAAAGATAACCTCAAAGAGTGGTATCTATACATCTCAATAAACATAGCAATGAAATTTTGCTACTACATTTTTTATTTTATTTTTTGAAAGGTAATCTAAAAGAATTGAATAAAGAAATATTTAGGAGAATTGAAGTTGACAAGAGAAACATCCTTGAAGTAATTTGAAAATATTAACAGAAGTAAAGAGAAGGGAAGGGGGCGATTAATGGATGGAAAAATCCACTGTATGTTTGATATGAAGGTCCGGTATCAAGGGCTCATAAGACAAGAAGAGGTTAGAGGAAGGCCAAAATCCAGGCATTATGGTTCAAATGACAATCACATATATCCCTACATATTCAGCTATGTCATTATTATTATTGATTATTTTAAAGTGTTATGTTATTGTTGTTGTTTGTAATTAAGTTTGTATGTTGGAGCCAATGATTTGACTGAGGAAAATAATTTCTCGTGGTTTACCATGTAGTATAGTGTTTTAGATATAGGGTCTCTTGCCTAGGTTAGGTTCAAATTCCATGCTAACCATTCAAGAAAGAAAAATGATGATTGCTTCTTGTTTTGATTTATATAACTGTTAAAATGAATGTGAGAACTTGTTACTTCTGTTGTTAGTAATTGCCTATTGGATTAGGTTTGTTGAAATATGATTTATTTAAACCATTCAACTGCAATTGGTTCTACTTGCAAGTTTAATCTTACTGATTCAGTAGCATATTGTCATTGTTCTCTCTCTTGTCATATGCATTTTAATTGTGATGTTTGAATGCTTGCAGAGCCTACTGAGTCATTGAACATATTGGCACTTGATGATGAGGGAAAATCTTCCAAAGCTGAAGATGCAAAGGAACAGGTGCATGATGCCATTCTGTTAATAAATTATGTTCTTATGTTGAAACTCTCTCTCGCTCTTGCTATCTCTCCCTCTCTCTCTCCATGCGAGAATATGAAATTTCATAAAGTGAAGTAAACTACAAATTACTTGATAGGATATTTTTGTAGTATTTGACAGGCAACATATTTCTTTATGATGAATATTTTTAGTCAGCTTTGGATTTTGTTCTGATATATTGCTCTATATTTATCAGCCTCTATCCACCAAAGGTGAGGGCTTGGAGTCCTCTGAAGCTCAATTGGATGCAACCACCGTTGTTCCTTCTAGGGATGGGAGTGGCCAACCTGGATCAGTTGATGCCAGTGGAGATTCTGGTTCATTCTATCCACCCAATGTTTATGCTCCTCAGGCATATTATATTGGAGGTGTGATTGCTTTCCTCTACATTAACTTATTTAATTTTCTGTACAATTTATTGGAGAGAAAGTTAATAGAAAATACATATCTATATATAATAGAAAGGAAGTTAACTGAAGAGTCAAATTTTCCAATAAAGTTAAATATAATTGCAAAAAGGCTAAGTCGGTTAAGGCCAATCAGCTTCCCGCTTCTGTTATTGATAGGCTACATTTATGTATTGGGGTAATCACCACCCATTGAGAGGATGGGAAGTGGGTTAGAGGGCGGAAGGGAAAGAGAGCTAATTAATAGAGGAATCACGAACATTGAATTTTGTCTAATCAATATGGTGGCGATGCCAATTTCACTCTCAAAAAAATAAAAAAAGATGTATCAGCATTAGATGTATTGAATCACATATCTCATGCATGCCGTCCATGTCAGGTTACGATGCTCATGTTGGTGAGTGGGATGAGTATCCTCCATATGTAAATGCCGAAGGCATGGAAGTCGGCTCTCCGGTATGTGCTTTCTCTGTTATCTTTGCATTTCAGTGCATCTGTTTCTTCCTCACTTTCTACCTTTTGATCAGATATATGTTTGTATTGTAGTTTCCAGTTACCTTTCGTCCACACTGAACGTAATCGAAGTTGTGTTTCTTTTTTCTTTTTCTGGGTGGGTGGGGGGGTTCCCATTCATCTTCTTCCTCCCAAAAGCATTTGTTATCAAATTCATCTGTGTTGTGTGTGTGTGTGCTCGCATGCATGCACATGTGTTTGTTTAGTTTCAATTCCGTCATTTCTTGCTTGAAATTTAATCAAAATTGTCTTCTTTCTATTGATGCAGGGTGTCTATAATGAGAACCAATCCGTTGTATACCATCCAAGCTTTGGGTATAACCCTCAAATGCCCTACGGCCCCTACTCTCCAGCTACAACCCCTTTGCCATCCGTTAGGGGAGATGGGCAGCTCTATCCCCCACAACAGTATTCATTTGCAGGTCCATACTATCAACAACCAGTTCCACCTGGCTTACCATACATTAATTCCCCAACACCTTTATCTCAGGCTGAGCTCTCTAGTCCATCAGCAATTGATCAACAACAAGGTGGTTTCCTTGCTGATGCTTCAAATACAAATGCAATTCCATTTGGGCCAAGACCCAACTACCCAGTTCCCTTTGGGTCATTTGGTAGAGGTAGCTTGGGTGGAAATAGTGGAAACCCTACTTATTACAATGCAAGGCAAGGTTATGATGGGTTTGGAAATGGGTCTTGGTCTGATTGGTCTAAAGCTCCTGATGGTCATCACAGGTCTTTGACTGGTTTGGCATCGCCAACCTCTTCTTCACAACCAATGGCTGCACTTGGATCATTCGGGCACAGCATTGCACCTCTGTCACCTGCTACAGTATGGTTCTAACATTAAATTTACTCTATTTTATTGTAGTATTTTTTGTTAATGATCATGTATGAAGTTAAGGATTTGAGGTATGAATGTATGATTTGGCTAAGTTTTTAGGTGAAAGTATATTGCAGAAATAATCTTTGTTTACTTGTTTGTTTTTTAACTTAGACATATTTACTTTCGAATTCTTCATGCATGTGGAGAATGTCCTTGTTCTTTATGAAAGATTTTCAAAGATTCTAAACGAAGATTTTAAACCAAGGTAGTATTGTGTTTTGAATAAAGTCGTGTTCTTTTTGGAAGTGACCATTATACCCCTCAGTCGTTTCTAGATGGGGGAAATCCTCATTATGTTCATGAATTTCAGACTGATGTAAATGCATCGATTTCTGGATCTGTAGTGATGTTTGTTGTCTCAAAAGACTATGGTTTACTATGAAACTACTTGGAATTTACCTTGGATATTCTTCATGTTAGAATTTGCAATTCAAACATCAGTATTAAATTTGATTTTATCTTCAAGAGCTTTTAGTATGGTTTTATTGAAGAAGAAATTTTGATGTTACTGTGCTCTCTTGAAGGATAAAAGCCTCTTTTGTTTCTCTGCGTAGTTTAAATGGTTCCTGCTACCAAAACTGACACCAAGTATTACATTTCAGTTAATTTTGAGCTAAAAACTTAGCCAAACTTCTGGTTTTGCTGTTGGTCCCATATATTGGGTGCTGTATAAGTGTGTTCTGCTTTGGTTTCATTTTAAACAAATAGTACAGGGGACGTTTGATGTGTATCCCTGGGCTGCATCTTAGAAATCATATCCATCTGAAAATAAGCAAAAAGGATGGTGTTGAACCCAGAAAATTACTGGGTAATATAAAAGATTTATTCCATTCCCCTGTACGTATGGTTGAAAATCTGCCACAAATCTCCCTCCATTTTCAGATCCTACTTATCAGGGTTCCAGGCAAATTTGTTGACGCTTCCCCTATGATTTTCAGTACCTACTTTCACGGTTCTGGGGTAAAATGTGAAAAATTTCCTTATGATTTTCTGGACGCTAATAGCTTGTTACGTATCCTTTTTTGGCCATTCTTTGGGGTAAAAGTCATAAAACTATGGAGATCCATTTGTTCACTGGAAATTTGGCCTATATTGTGAACTTGATCAATTTTTTCTTTATGTATTTATTGAGTTTCAATAGGTTATTTTCTGAAACATTGAACCTTGGCTGGTCATGTATATCTAACGTGTTCATTTTATCTTGCAAGTCACCCTAATTTCCAAAATTCAACAATAAGAAACTATTTTTCTTCTATTACATCATTAAATTTTGCCAATCCTCTCTTTCTACAATTGGTAAACAAATTTCTCATAGGAATTTAAGGATTCTCAGCAACAGCGACCACTGTTTATGGCTAAACTCCTTTTTTTTCTTTTATCACACTTGAAACATCAAGGCTAAATTACTCTTCTTTTCTTCTGTATTATAAGCTTCTGTCAATTCCTAATTTTTTTAAGCATCATTTCACAAGATCACTTATTTTAGACTTCTCAGCAACAGAGACCACTCTATGGCATCGGGGGCACGCAAAGCTCGTACAGCAGAGGTTATCCACAAAGCAGAATCTATCAAAGTGGTAGTTTTGGAAGGTCTTCTCCTGCTCTTGGAGCCATTGGTAGGAGTTGGATTGCTGTTGAGAAGAGCAGGAGGAGAGGTAGAGGTGGTGGATCTTTGTGCAACTGCAATGGCACCATTGATGCCCTCACTGAGCAGAATAGGGGGCCAAGGATGTCAAGATCAAAGAATCCGCAAGGAGATCAGAACTCATCAGCTGATACCAAAAATGGTACATCAGAAAGCAATGAATTATATAACCGGCTCGACTTTAATATTGAGTACAAAGATGCGAAGTTCTTCATAATAAAGTCGTATAGTGAAGATAATGTCCACAAGAGCATTAAGTATGGGGTTTGGGCTAGCACAGCCAATGGGAACAGGAAGTTGGATGCCGCCTATCGGGAATCCAAGGAGAAAGATGGGCATTGCCCCGTTTTCCTTCTTTTCTCAGTAAGCAATCTTTGGTGTCAATAATGTGTACAGCTATTATTTGAGTATTTTCCAATGCCCATGTATTTTATTTCTGGAATGCATGCTACAATCCATTGATCTATGGGAAACACCATTAGGATTGTCATCATCCAATGGAATAATGATAGTGATCGAGAGAGTTGGCCCACCATGGGGACATCACCTCTTCAGTTAGGCCCTGCTTTCTCCCTCCATCATTGCTCATCATTTCATTTGACAGTGACCCAAATGTATAGTGGTTTTCCATAGACCATTTGACTATGGCCTATTCTTCATTTATGTAGCATGTCTCTTTAGATTGTTGAGCATTCCACATTGTGTATGAAGCTTTTGTGTTCCACTCTAGGATGACTTCTCTGATGCATGGATTATTTTATTAGTATGGGTATGTGTTTGTGCACGCGCGAGTGTGCATGTTCGTGCATGCAGGTCCATTGCTGAATCTAATAGTCGTGGTTAATTTGCAGGTAAATGCTAGTGCGCAGTTTTGTGGGGTAGCAGAGATGATGGGTCCAGTTGATTTTGAGAAGAGTGTGGATTATTGGCAACAAGACAAGTGGAGCGGTCAGTTCCCTGTCAAGTGGCATATTGTTAAAGACGTTCCCAACAGTCAGTTCCGCCATATTATCCTTGAGAACAATGACAACAAGCCTGTTACCAACAGTAGAGACACTCAGGAGGTAAGCTTGTTCTTTGTTGGTTTTCATAGAAATTAATAAAATTTTCTGAAATGTGTATACTGACGTCTAAAATCACTTTGGCTTCTATGCCTCTGGATCTTCAAGTTATTTGTTATTATAATATGTTTGATAGATTGATGCCATAGCAACTTGTGCTTGGAAGTTTATACTTCCATATGTGACTTGAACTGCTTCTAACTTGTGCTTAGAAACCATACACCACATGTAATTTGTACCGCGTCACCTGTATCTGTCACACACATGTAAGGGAGAATGCAAAATGTATACCTTCTTATGAGAGAGATACAGAAGCATTTGTTTAATGTTATGTCAGTGCAAGAGAGAGATGCATCATTTCTGTTCAAGAACTCGTTTTCCATGTTGAATTTTCTTACCATTGTGTGTGTGTGAGAGAGAGATGTATATATTTAACATTTGTGATTTCTTTTGTTGATAAGATGCACCATTTATTATCAGGACCAAAGGGGAAAGTATATAATAAGACCATTTTTTGACACAAGGAGGTCACCACCTCCTATGGCCGGTTGATGTAAAATCGAGTGGCTGAGGGTGTGTCATCGACCAAGCTCAGAGTCCAAATAAAAATTTCTCGAGCTTGGTGACGCACTCCAAGCCATCAGATTTCACATTGGATTGTTAGAAGTGATTGTGATCTTCTGGTGTCGTACGTAAATGGTCTTATAGTATGCAATTCGTTTACTAAAGAAAAACGTATTCCATTTTGCATTTTCCTACCATTGAGAGGGAGACGGTTCAATGTTTTGAGACCTTTGCTCATTTTTTGGAGTTCATTTCAGGTAAAACTAGAGCAGGGCCTCGAAATCCTGAAAATATTCAAGAACTACAACTCTAATGTCTCGATTCTCGACGATTTTGAGTTCTATGAAACCCGCCAAAAAGCCATGCAAGAGAGAAAAGCAAGGCAGCAACAAGCAGCCCTAGCTGAGCACACAAAACCAGCCTCCTCTGCACTCTCCGGTGAGAAACAAGCTACCCCACAAGACAAAAACCAGACAGCAGTTCCATTTTCTAGCGATGTGGTGAAGCAATTGCCAAAGACATTTGCCAATGTATTGAGGTTGGGAGAAGCAAAAGTTGCCGGAAAAGAAAACCCGTCTCCTGAAAAGGTCAGAGCCCAAGTTGGAGACGAAGTGTCGGCAACCACGTCAAGTAGCTAACATGGGGCTGCTTTCTCTTCCGAGGAATATGATGCTGCTTTCTCTCTCTAGCCAGAATTTCAGATGGTCCGCAAAGTTTCTTTCTAGAAAGGGGAGAATTGATGGAGTGGCACTATGGAGGCCTGAAGATGTGCGAGAGTTGGCAGAGGGGAGTTTCTGGTTGTTTCTCTCTCTATATGTAACATAGTTTTTCTTTGCTTCTTGCTTTTTTACCTTTTTCTTTTTCTTTTTTGCGTTTTGTATCTTGAGGTGTTCAAGTGAGAGAAGCAGTTATTTGAAGCTGCTCGATGCCGAGTCGTCTCCTCTCTGTAAATTTCTCTCTACCCCAGCTTGAAAGGCTGATGAATAAAAAGAATGATGCCTTGAGAGTGTTTCTCTTTCATTTTTTTTCTTATTCAACTATTTGATTTCCCACCTTAAGTGGGCGTCAAAAAAAGTAAAAAAATCACCCCTCCGGATTTGGGATCGGTACGTGATAGCCTGCCTCTTCCTTACAGGAACTAGGAACTGATATAATATGGAAGGAGTTGTGCATTTGTGAGAGAAGTAGAGAGCTGGGCACGTTTGTCAGCAAGCTTGGTGATTCTATATCCAATTTTTTTAATTAATTTAAAATGTAAAAACAATATTCCAATATTCTTTTCAATTTGGATTGGCTATCCAATCCAGATTGGCATCACAATCAGCCATTTGTTTAAACGGATGAAAGGGAGGGTCCTGATTGGCTGGAAACAAATGCTAATTCTCGATATCTCGATATACATGGTGGCCTAGATTTGGTAATTATATCTTTGGTAATTATATCTTTGTATAGGGTTTTGTTAGATCACTTGTGGTATACACCTATTTTTAGACATTTAGATATTCTTATCCTATAGTAGAGTAATTTTTTGTTTAGAGGTATTTTAAGTAATTAATCAAAAGTAACCTATAAATTTTTAATAGAAACAAAAAATTTTATCAACAATAGTGGACAATAATATGATGGTGTGTCACATCATTTATAATATGATGGTGTGTCACATCATTTACAAAATCCATTAATTGGTTTTAACTACTAATAGAATGCTATTATGTTTTTAATAAAAATATCTATTTTACTTTTTTAAATAACCAAAAATACCCCTATATAAAAAATTTTGTATTACAATTCAAAGCATTTTAGTATCAAAAAATGAAATTTTGTATTATAATTCAAAAATATTTTAATATCAAAAAATGTTGAACAATTTAAAAGTCTACACCACCAATTGGCGTAGCTTAACAAAAACTTTTTAGAGGTATAAAGCTGGACTTCACTAACTATTGTTGGGTATAAAGCAGGACTTCTCTAAATATTGTTGGGTATAAAGTAGGACTTCTCTACTATTTCTGGGGATGGATCAACGCGAATCATATCAGCCGTCCGTTGTCGAGTAGGAATAATGGGTGCCATTTGTACAAGGTATCAAACGTTTTTGACGAAAATTTCCCAGCTGTTATCAAACAACTTTAAACATAAAACGAAGCCCTCGTAATATCATAAAAATCTCTTTTCAATTCTTATTACGAAATTCAATGTTTAAAAAATAAAATAGATCCATCATATCTATTAATATTTAAAAATTTGTTAAAATGGACAAGATATACTACATTTGACAAGTACAAACCATTTTACCTTGTAGAAAGTTAAGTTTATATAAGCTGGAGATGTAAGGCGAATTTTAAATAATCTATCCGAAAAGGCTGTTCTGATCTTGAAAAATCCTACAATTAATGATATGGACTTTTGAGATGTAGGGATATGAAAAACGGATTCAAGTCTTATAAACAATGTATTTCGTAATGGGAAAATGTTTTGATAGGAAAATTACCCAAAACAAAAAAAAATGTTTTGATAGGACTACAGCCATATCAAAATAAATAAAGCCTCATCTCAAAGCTTACTATAGTTTTGGAGTCGATAAACCTTCAAATCAATTATCTTGGCCTTGATCATTATGGTTGTAAAAAGAAAAAAAGAATTTCAAACCCTAAAAAGATAATGTATTGTCATAACACATTATGCAGACCATCCATTTCACACTAAAAGGGAGTTTTTATATACTTGCAAGATCGGTACTACATCACGTGTTTCAAATTTTATAGTTAGTATTGGAAATTGATTTTAAAAGTCATTATAGAGTTTTTCGATACTCAAAATGCTTTACAGCCTCCTCGACTTCAAAATGTATGGATATAAAAAAAAAAAAGAAAAAAAAAATTGTAAGTCTTAAAATAAGTACATATTGTAATATATTGTCTTGGCCTTTCCTTTTTAAGTTTGATGTGTTTATAGATTTGCTTGGTTTAAACTATTTTTGAAATTTTATAATTAGAAATAAAAATACATTTTCAGGCTATTCTAGGAATTTTAGACACCAAAACCTGCGCCTCTAGAATTGGAGGTACACCTTATTTCGATTGTTTAGAGTGCAGTCTTGTGCAACCCTTTTACATTTTATATATGGTTTTCCAATTAAGGTGCAAGTCCAAATTTTATAACATGTAATTTTAGTGTAAAAAATTAGTAGGATTATCTCAAAATCTATTTCCGTATCTAATTATAAAATTTTAAATTTCAATGGTTAAAATCAAATAGATTTATAAACATATAAACATCTTCAAAATCGACGGACCAGACAGTGTGATTCGAGATGTCCTAATTTCAAAACTTAAATTTTTTTTTTTTACATTCGTACATCTCGATGTACGTCCATGTTTTGGAGGTCCACATTTAATTCTATATTTTAAGGTTGCAACTATATGTAAACTTTTTCCTTAGGGTCCTTGGAAGGACAGTTTCGACTTTGTTCAGATAATCTCTCTCTCACACACACACACAGAGGAAGTGTCGACTTTGTTCGGATTTTCTATCTCTTCGGATAATCTCTCTCTTGCCTGAGAGGCTTTGCTGTTTTCTCTCTCCCTCCCTCCCTCTCTTTCTCTCTCAATGTTGTGAGCAACCGTATTGGAAACCGTTGCTTTCATTTGGTTCCCACCACGGCCTACAGTCTCCAACCCCCGCCTCTCTCTCTCTCTCTCTCTCTCTAAGACACACTCTCTCTCTCTCTCAAGCAATTCCTTCATTCGAGTCTATATAGAAACAGTAACAGTGCTCTCAAGTAACCCCCCTTCCTTCACTCTCTCTATCTATATATCTGTAACTCTTCATCCTTCTCTTTAGACGGGAACGGTACTTTCATGGTTCAACTGATAATGTATGATGATGCCCAAAAATCATCCGTTAATGGAAGAAGAAAATATCTTCAAATGCCCTCCTCTCTCCTTCAAAATGGATCACAGGTGCCGTCTTGCCTTATCCCTCAAGTCCTCTGTATCTCAAAAGCTCCGCCAATTCCTTGGAAATTACTCAGACGACGTCCTAGCGGTATGCTTCTAGGGTTTTTTTTTTTCTCAGATGAATGATATTTTTTCTGCACTTCTTATATAAATTTACAAGAATCTTGGTGATAATAATGAGAAGTGGATTGCATAATGTTCTTTTCGTTCGATTTGTTAGTTCATTTACTTTTGATGACCTTTTGAATACTAATGGCTGGTTGTTATTTTGCTCTTACGATCATTGTAAGTGATGATCAGCTTGAAAATTGTAAGAACAATGTATGGGGGTCTTGATCGCTGGGTTTTAAGCGTATAATTGTGTGTTATATTTTGATTTCTTTATATTTAGCTTGTTGTTCATTGGAAAATCTTAGGGTTTTGTGAGGTCCTTGTATTCTTTATGAGCTTTTTTACGACTTCTATCTACATGCTTCTATGGGTAACTTTTCTTTAGTTGGTTTATTCATAGACCCATTCATTTGTTGTTTCATTCTTCTTCACTTTCTTCGCCATTTTCTTTTTTGGTTTTTTGATTTGGGCGACCAAGAGTAAGCTAGGGTTATAAAGGTCTCTATAACTGCATCTGGCCATCTTAGAGTTACAGGGCACTAGCTAAATAAGTTGCCTTATTATATCCAATTTATCAAAATAATTAATAGGTCGGGATGATAAATTGGAAACAGTCCCTCGCGTCTTTTTTCTTATTAATTACAGGAAATTTATGAAATTTCACCTAGGAGTTGAACTATTTAAGATCTCATTCATAGATGTGATTTGACTAATTTCCCGAACCATAAAGATGTGTTATTTGATGGTCTATTAGAAATTTGATTGAAAGAGTGATGAGCTATTTTAAATTTGATCAAAAGCAATCAAGACCATTTTAAATAGTTTGACTTTAACTATTGGGTGTGATTTGATAATTTTTTCCTTTATTCGCTAACTGTTTTTTGTTTGAAAATGGGGAAATGTTACGTTAAGCCATAGTGTATGCATGTATAGAAGCACACAAAAATTTGAGTATTTTTATTTTGTAATTTTGTAAACAAAATTGGATCGCTTGAGTATACAATTCAGCCATCCAGTTTATACAACATTGGGCCAAGATTGTTTAGATATCTAACAAAAACTAATTGAGAAAAAGGATTATGTGTACAACAGTTACAAAATTTGGCAAGTGCACTGTGTGTCTTGTAATTTAGATGGATGGTTGAGAGATCCCCTCTTTTTGCTTGTTCGTCAGCAATGAAATTTGCGTCCCTCCAAACATGCCGAAGGACATGTTATGTATTGGAGTGATTCATGAATTTGTTCGAAAACTTGCTATAAGCGCCGGTGGCATAACTGATTCACCCACAGCAATGAGATGGTTTCAAAGTTTTGGAGTCTTGTTAATAATGCCAACGCTTCCGCTTCAGTAGCCTCGCAGTGCCCAGCTGGGCCTGAGTCCCTGAGGAGAGGTATGTCCAAGGTGATTTTGGAAGATACCGTTGAAGCCCAATGGAGTTTCCTTTTGAACTGCCATCTAAGTCCAAATCAACGTTATCAAGACCACATTGGTCACCGGACAGTTGTCAGCACCAGTCCAGTCCAAAATGGTCGGACCGGCTGGTTCACTGGTGAGGCAACTTCAAATAAAAGTAAAATATAAAAAACTGGTTAAAGGATGGTCTGAACTTGCTGGTTCAAGTGGTTGAACCAGCTGTACAAGCCAGTTTTGATCAATTGCCAGTGCAATGATCAGACTGGACTGGTTTCAGCACCGGTTCTCGATCCAATAAATTGATCCGGCCAGCCTGGTATGGCCTTAATAACATTGGTTTTTCCCTCTCCTTGGGTGGCAGCCATCGTGCGGAATTCTAAGTGTGGTTAATATTGAAGTATTGTCTATCAAGGTGAACTATTATTGTATAGAGCTCCTGGCTTGTGGGAAGCATTTTTTTGTAGTGTTACCGGTCTGTGGGTAGCCCATTTTTTGGTAATGTGTACACTTTACTTAAACGCAATATAAATCTTCATTTTTTTGTATAGTGCTACCAGTTTGTGGGTAGCCTACTCTTTGGTAATGTATACAATTATACTTAAACTGCATATAAAAGTTAGCATCTTCGAAAAAAAAAAAGATAAGACTATGAAATTCTTTTGGGATAGTGCACATCTATGAAATTCATTTGGGATAGTGCACATGGTATGATCAGGGCTTTGGTGCGATAAAAAATGGAATATGTTATGGTTTAGATACCTGAAAGATTCTTTCGTTTTGTTTTAACCAGTGTTTAAAAAATCGGTGACTTGATCTGGAATCGGGCGATCCGGATCGGGTATCGTCTAGCCCACCATGGATCTGATGAAAAAACGGGATTCGAAAATTTTTTGGTATAGAATCGCTTTGCTCACGTCATGGATCGTTATTCTGATGTCAAGACTCAGATACATCATCGATCTGTCAGTGTGAACTGGGCATTTTAACCAATTCTCATGATTTTTTTTTTTAATGTCCTACGTGGGCACCATTTTCATAGGCTCACCTTTTTAAGACCGGTATGCTTTTTATTTCCAAAAAAATCTTTCCTTGGGGCCCACATACTAGCCACCTGGCAACCACATTACTATTATATCCACACTCACTTCTCAAAACCTACGATGTGGGATTAATCCGCTTTTGAACTTTCATTGAGGTGAAAACATATGTGTGATAGTTATGAAAAGTAGGCACTATGATTTCTCGTAATGACATGCACAACCTCCTCTTTGTATGTCTGGGTCAATTCATGTCCAATAAATATCAACATCCACATTTTGAGTTAATGTAGAACTTATCCAATGTTTATATCATGGTAGATAATAACAAGGTTTAGAAAACGTCATTATTATATATTCAAAGCTCATTAGATGTAGGGTGGCAATGGGTTGGGTCAGGGTCTGGGTCGACTTGGACCCTAACCCGACCCAAACCTAACTTGGGTCCGGGTCTAGAACCTAACAAACAAATTTTAAAAAAATATTCTAAAAAACATATTGCAAATATATATAGTTAGTTGGTTTGTGGTAATTTTGGATGAGTAAAGCGAATTAATAAATATGTGATATTCGATGTGATATTAATTTCATTTTATATGGGAAATTATTTTTTAATCTTATAATATGGAAGGTTTTCTAATGTTTTAAAATTATTTTGATGTAATATTATAATATTATATTATAATTAATAATTATACATACATCCATACATGAAAACAACGTCTTCGTATTCATCTATTTTTACAAAATAATGAAAATGCATAATGCACCACTCCTAATTTCTTTTAGAAACTAAAAGAATACTATTTTTAGAGATTTATAGTGATTTTTTGAAACTTTTTGGATCGATTTGCCAATTCAGCCGATTCTCCGATCCGATACAGGTATGGGTGTGGACGATTCGGGATCAACGATTCGTTTTTTTAAATGCTGGTTTTAACCAAATGGGCCATGTTATGGCTAGGGTGGTGAGCTTCTAAAATAGGTTTTCTGCTTTTGGGATGAAGTGACTATTCAAGCAAGTTCATCTCTGAGTTTCCCTTAAAACCATAGTGTCCAGATGAGCTATCCACCTGACCACTCTTTCATACTGACCTTTGTTACATCGGGGTCGGGTACCATGCCAAAAAAGGGGGGGAGAGTCGATTCGATGCGACTCTTTCCTTTCCATAGGCCTGTCAAAAATCTAATGCGGCCCCTTTTTCTCACAGCAGACCAGATATGATTGCAAACTGTTGCTGGATAACACAGAGAGCTTTCTATGCACCAGGGTATAACCTTTGCGTGCTCCTTGGAGCGCTTTGCCCATTTGCAAGCCAACCCATGGGGTAGGTTTCATATTTTATGTTTGATTACCTAGTACCAGAGATGGTCCTGGTGGTGTGCAGAGCGCCACCACCATTTGCTTAAATGGGCTGTGTTTGCCTATTTTAGATTCCTGGACCCTCTCATTTAGTTTGCAAACATGGTCCTGTTTTACCAAATGGAATTTGTTTGTGTATCATTCTAAAGAAAATCTCTGTTATGTTGCTCAATCATATTGATGACAGATGTTGGCATTCTGAACATAGACTTGTTATAGACAGGGACATTAAGTAATGTAGCATTTAATCAGGGTTATTTAAATGCCTGAATGATAGGAATATACACTTCCAAGATGCCAATCTTCTTTTGACTTTTAATATGAACCTGTTACACTGTGATTTGTGTGGTTTCCTGAAGCATGAAGCCGATTAACTTCGCATTCCATTTGATGGGCTAAAGTTAGCAATTATGGTTCAGAAATGTCCACACCCAAGAGCTTGGACCTGGTCATGTTGATCCTTAAATGGTGCAGAGTTCGAAACATCTTAAAAACAACTGCAAATTCAATTTGATGTGGTTCTGTGTCACAGAAGTCATCTGAGTAAAGAAGGTGAGAAATTGTGCGACTCCCTTTAGATGATTCAAGACCATCTACTAAACCTTGGCTGCAAACCCATTCTTTAGATATACTGAAAACATTAGGGGCGATCACGAATAGAAAGAGTAAAAGTGGTTCACCTTGACGTGACCCCCTGGAGGATGGAAAGGAGCCCTGAAGTATTCCATTTATGTGGATAGAAAAATGGAAAGGAGCCCTGAACATTTATGTTGGATATGCATCCAGGCATCCAAGATTGCCATTTTTCTCCATTGCCCATGAGCCTCATAACCTGATCCAAAAACACCCCAGTTAACAAGGCTGTATGCCCCATTGGCATCAAGGTTTCAGATGATCCCAGGTGGGTTCAGGCAATGCCTTCTATTAATGCACTCGTGAGCTATGAGGGGCTTCATCTAGGATTTGTCTCCTCTTTACGAATGCGTCTTTGGATTTTCAATCATGCATTGCTATTTCTTAATATTTGCTTAGAAGATGAAAGAAAGACCATTATTATGTAATAATCATCTATGATGATGACAATTTTTTTACGAGTTCTTTTATGTTGATGATGTATTTTTTGGTCTTGTGCATGTGGCATAAATGAATCCAACTTTTAACTTAAATGTTAACCTTTCCCAAACTGAATTTTTGCAAATTGTTAGCTCCAAAGGAGAGGCTTAATATAAAGATCATTTGAGTATATGAACAACGGCTTTTTATTTCTTCTTTTTGGGTCAGTAACATGTGAATAGTGCAGATATATACACACTAATTGTTTTGCTAATTTCTCCGGTGGATTAAATATGTTTAATGTTTAGGATTGTTGTTGTCTGGACATCAATTATTCATATATGGTCAGAACTGAAAAATTTAATCTGAATTTAGAGATAAGATGTGGCGGCTTAGGCATAATTTAAAGAAATATGTGGCATATACCTGCCTTTTAGATGATTCTAGTAAAAATGTTTGATGCTGCATATACATAAGTAGTGATTAAGTTTGAACTACTTGTTTCATTTGACAGGAGTACATCGTTGTGCTTGTGTGTAATGGGAAGAATCAGAATCAAGCACAGGAGGATTTGGAGGCATTCCTTGGTGAAGAAAGTGGAGCGTTTGTTGAATGGTAGTGGAACTTATAGGCTAGCTTGGTTTTTTCATGAGAACTATTTAATATTTCTCTGGCAGGACATATTTCCACTGTTTCCTTTTTTCATTCAAATGTAAAAGCCTTTTTTTTTGGAATATGACACTCTTTTTTTAGGTGATGTATTTTTATTAGAGAGGCAAAGGAAGTCAGAAGAGGTGTAGATAGCAAAAATCTTCGCTGGCTGAAAATCCCAATACCTGAAACTATCCTTTGTTACCTTAGCAAATTTCTGTGGCCCGTGGATTTCAATTGTCTTATATATTCTCTGAGTTTTTTGCTGGTTCCTTTTTTAAAATAGCATAATTTTTTGTTTTGAACGGTAAAAGGTTCATCTCTGCAAATATTCATAAATCCTAGAAATAAAAAGCCTTGATCCTTGTGGGTAAATACCAAATACGTGAGATTAAATCATTATATGTGAATGTTTGTTTTATATTGTTGAGATGGCTCTGAGAAAATGTCTGTAACTGAACTGTGTTTTATATTGTTGATGAGGCTACCTCGTAATTTTATTATGAACTTATGCTGTAACTTTCGTCCATCAGAATATAATCTTTTGATTACTTTAGCAGAAAAACTTATGATTATAGATGGCCTAGAAAATATTTGACTCTGGTTCGATGCACAATTAACAGGATGTGGAGTCATCTTTCCAAAACCATTGAATTCCCAGAGGTGCCTATTAGCTCTGAATGTGTTCAGGGTGATACTGTGAGTGCTAAAGGAGATAGTAGTGCCAATAAGCATAGTAATGGTGGGCAAACTAAGGTTGGTAATATGGCCTTTAGATCCTCTTTTCAATGGGGACTGTTGGTTTCTTCTTTTAAAATTCATTTTCTGATTTGGTTTTTTAGCAAGTGACAGTCATTTAAACTTTTTTTATGATTATTTTTGGCAGTCCCATGGTGGTAACAACAAACTATTGGATTCCTATCCCGAGCTTATTTCTTCAAATATAAGGGAAGACAGTATTGAGGGAAAACGTGGAAAGACTAATAACTGTGAAAATTTTGATTACAATTTGGTAGAAAATAATTGGAATGAAGATGTGAAGACCGATCCAAGACCAGTGAGGTCTTCTTCCAAGTATAGTGCAAGTCCTGACCGTTGCCTGCAATATGAGGATCATTTCAAGAAGGTTGACAATCTAGCTTTCTGTCTCGATATTTTATGTTTACTCTTAACCAGAGCTTAATATCCATAAGATGTAATAGAGCATATTTACCGTACTCATCTGGCCTTGCTTCATCAACTTTTGCAGTCATTACAGAAGGATCAAGCCAGGAAGAATTTGGAGTCTGCTGTTGGAGGTGCGTGTGTGCATGCATTTTTTGTGTGTATGTGTGCGCTCGCATGCATGTGTGTGTGTGTGTGAGACAGAGAGAGAGAGCACCACATCCCCACTTATGTATGCCTTTTAACTTACTTTTAGCTCATGCAGGAAATCATTGTGCCAAAGCAACAAGGTTGCCTGTGAGATCCTCCAATTCTTCTGTACCTAACCCGAGTCCCAGACCAAGGGGAAATGTATGGGATAGATTAGGAAAGCCAGTCAATGAGGCAAGTGCGCTAAATGGTGAGATCACTACACGTTTTATCGATATGGTTAAAAGAACAGCAGGCCATGATGAGAATAAGGCAATGTTGGCCACGTCTGTTGGTAGTAAAAGATCGTTGGGAGAAGTTACTGTTCTTGATGACAACCATTGTGAGAAGGCCATCTCTAGTTGTGGTACTATGGCAGTAGATGCTTGTGATGATATAGGATTGCTCAGGAAAAGGAGGCGCGTTGATGAGATTAGTAGTGCCAATGACCTCGAGTCATTGGCTAGAGGCAAGTGTATTGTGGGTCAAGGAAGAGAAAGTACAGAGATAAAAAGATTACAATTCAATAATACAGAAGCTTATGAATTCAAAAATAAGGAGGGGCTGTCCTTGGGGTTGGCCAATCTCTCAGGGCAACAGGCCCATCCAGAGGCTTCCAAAATTCGCCGAGCTAGATTGAATGGTAAGGTGGTGGCATCTGCTCTCCAAGGAAAATCAGAAGTTAGAGAGGTAAAAGGATTGCAATGCAATGACATGATAGCTTATGAATCTAGAAACAAGGAGGGGGTATCTTCAAGGGTGGCCGATTTCTCTGTTCAAAAGTCCCATCCAGAGGTTTGCAAATTTCTTCAAGCTCAGTGTGGGAAGGTTGCAGTTCCTGCTCTCCAAGGAGAATCAGAAGAAGTTAGAGACATTAAAGGATTACAATGCAATAACATTGTATGCAATGAATCTAGAAAAGAGGATGGGGTATCTATGGGGGTGTCGGATTCCTCAGTCGGACGGGCTGATCCAGACGTTTGCAAATCTCGTCAAGCTCTTTGGAGTGGGAAGGTTGCTGTTTCTGCTCACCAAGGAAAATCTGAAGCCCTCATTCTTTCTGTAAATGGGGATCCCAGTCATAAACCCATCCAAGCTGTAAAGAAGTCTACTCTTTTCTTTTGATAATGATTTTCAGTTATTTACATATCATTCATTTGTGAATTAAATCAAGGAAAAGGATACTATAATCATTCAAGTGGGCTATGGTTTTCAACAACGTATGGAATGGATGGAGTGTGGCACTTCCATTGAGGTTATTTCCTGTTCTGGTGGCCCCCTTCCCTTTCTTCTCCATAGAGGGAGAGGGAGAGGGCCTTCCATTGAGCTCATTTCGTGTTCTGGTGGTGCAACCTCCCTTTCTCCGTCAATGTCCATCATTTCATCCGACAGTGGTGACCTTGACCGATAATTAGTGCTGTCCAGTGGGTTATAATATGCTTCTGTTAAATCCAACTACCCCATTGGTATATCTGAGTGTCATTTTCATCTCATGCAGGAGGTTATGGATGTGAAATTGAGGTTACGCCAGATTGAGTTAGAGATGTCCAAGCTTCGGGCGAAGCAGGCGGGCATTACCAATGATGTTAAACCAACTGTAGTTGCTTCCGGTAAATAATCATTCTATCAATCTGTGAGGCTTATGTCTTACGATGTTTGCTTTCGTTACTGGTCAATACCTGCAATTGTCCACAACCTGAGTGAATGCTGCCTAGCATTGTCCGTTTTTCTTGTTCCCCTAATTCTCCACCTCTTCTCTATGATTTTTTATGAATGGTGATGCTTCTCTTCATTTGCATATATGGATGAGAATGAACTACCAAAAACTACGATTTACCAATTGGAAGAAATATCCCTCTATGAGTTCATAATACAAATGACCATTCTCACACTAAAGTAAGCATTTCATGTGACCTTGCCCATTAATTGTGGATTCTTAACTAAACTGGCGATTCTCATTTGTGAATTTATCCTTTAAAATATTCCCTTAACTCATAAAACCATGCTTTAGTAGAGTATATATCAAACCTATGTGAAATTTGATAATATACTTTTTGAGAGATTTCTATCTATGAACCAATTGATGTAAAGGTGGCTGAGTCACTTACTTTTCTTGTTCATTAGTAAGCAGTTGGCCAGGCCATAGTTTATTACAACAATAGGTTATAGGTAATGAATCTTGGGAAATTTTACTTCGTTAAGGACAAGAGAGGAATCCCTGTTTTTCTGTCATCATTTTTCATCAATACTATATGAGTGATTTGAAACTAGAGCATGATATTCTTATCAAACTAGAGCATTTTAATTGTAAATGAATACTACAAACTTATTTATCTGATCATCACATGCATGAATACAAAACCAAAAGCCAAATATTGGAAGCATTAGTGTGACTAGAGTACCCCTATCAACAGAACATTTTGGAAGCACCCTTCTTTGATCTTTCTAGAAAATAAAAAGTCACTATGCACAAATAATTGGAAGCACCCCTCTTTAATCTTTCTAGAAAATAAAAAGTCACTATGCACAAATAATTGGTCAACACTTTTGAGTTCATGAGGCAAGTAGGAGCAAGTGGAGTAATAAGTACTTAAAAGGAGATGTGGAAATACTTGGAAGGATGTGATTTTGGGAGTTGTAATCATTACTCATTCCGTGGCGCTATATTTGAGCTGATTGGTTATTGATGGGGTATTTTCTTTTGTGATTTGTCATTCAGAGATTGGATACCTGTAGTTGTCAAAATACGCAGCTTACATGGATGTAGTAGGTTTATTTAGCCTCTGAAAAATTTATCATCGGTATGGACCTTGTATTGATTGCCGTTTATGTATGCGCAGTTCATAATTGTGTGGGAAATATTGTTGTGTTTTCCTTTTGCAGGTGCACGAAATATTCTGATTCACTCTGAGGAAGATATCGATTCGAGGACTGTTTTTATTACAAATGTAAACACATTGATGCTTCTTTTATGTAACTTCTGCAGTAGTTCATGAAGTCACTCTACTTGTCTGTTCTTGTTATATGTGTTTTAAACTCTTATCGTGTGATTTAGTCTTGTTCCATGTCATTGCATATGTGATTAATGGACTCACCTTGGCATATGTGACTGCTCTGTTAATTATAAGATCAAAGAAATGGGCCTTCCTCATTGGTGGCTTTTAACTAACTAATTGTATGTTTTACTTGTACGTCATATGATGTTGTGCTGGGCTTCTGCGTTCTTATAGATCTCGCTTTTTGGGTTTATGCCATTTTCTTTCTCTACTTCAATTTTATGAAAATAATGGAAATAAACAAAATATATGTTGCTTTATTTGTTGGAGCAGAAAACTGGGGGTTACATGTTTACTCCAGGATTCTGCCTGGCTATCATTTTCAATCTAACTAGCTACTGCCCCAGATATCAAAAGGAAAGTTCTTGAAGTTGCAGTAAGGTTTATAACCATCTAAACCTTGTAGAAAGATACATCTCTGGTTCTTCGGACGCAAGTCTCAAAAAGGATTTTGGAACAAAAATTTAGCTGATGTGGTCCATAATCCTGGATGGATTTCTTATAAAGGTGACTTATGAGACAAGAACAAGAAATCCAATGACATTATATGTAATTTTATTTAAGCTTAGTCCTAAGTGTTTTGCCAAACTTATATAATTATGCCAAAGTTTATCATACATCATATCATCTTGTTTGTATCTGTACCTTTTATATGTTAAGAGAGTCTTACTTAAAAATTTAAAGTTCACCACATGTCACCATAAACTGTGCCAAATTTTATTATAAATCATATCGTCTTGTCTGTTTCTGTACCTTTTATAATTGAAGAGAGTCTTACTTAAAAATTAAAAGTTCACCACGTCACTATAAACTTTTTGCTAAAGTTTATTATACGTCATATCATCTTGATGGTATCTGTACCTTTTATATTTGAAGAAAGTGTTACTTAAAAATTAAAAGTTCACCACATGTCACCATAAACTTTTTGCTAAAGTTTATTATACATCATATCATCTTGTTGGTATCTGTACCTTTTATATTTGAAGAAAGTGTTACTTAAAAATTAAAAGTTCACCACATGTCACCCTAAACTTCATATGCATTAGTATACTTTATTAACATGCTTTAGAAATTTCATGGAAGAATGAAGGCATAATATTGCTGTTTCTAATAGTATGACTTGTACATTTATTAATTTTTATACTTTAGTTATTGTTTATTATATTGATTATCTTCATGTCAGCATTTTTGGGCCACTGTATGAGCATGATTAGATTGACAGGGAGGCCTTCCCATACTCGTGGATGTCGACATGTGTATTTGTGGAGATTCTTGAAAATTCTTATCAACATTGTACAGGAATTACAAAAAAAAATACTTGTAAATAAATTGTATTCAATATCAGATATTCTAGGGGTTTGCAGGATGGATTTCCTCATTCTAATTCTATTTTGCCATTTCTATCAAAATCAGCATTAAAATTTGAACTAGTTCCCAAAGAATACTTAAAGTACTTAGTTTTCATTTTCCAAATATAAGACCCATTATGGCGCATCAATTGACCAGGCATAACCTAGTCAATCTTAATGCCCCACAATGAAACCTGAAATGCTCTAGCAAGTTGGTAGTTGATCAAAAGAGTCACTAACCAACTTTGCATCTTCACTGCACCGGAGACACATGTATAAGCAAAACGCTGGGGCTGTTTGTTTCTTTAGATGGTCCGTTATAAGGATATCATTCAGATAGGCTAACTACCTTTAGCCTGGACAGCACCTGCTCTTTGCCCTTTCGAGGTGAAGGGCAGTTAACAAGCGAGCTGATGAAAATGTTTGCATGTCCTCAACTTGAAGGCCATTTTCTTGTATGATCTAATTCTAGGAGCAATTTCAGAAAATTTAGGGAAGGGGAATTGCTGCAAATTTGTCAAATTAGATGGATTTGAACAACTCATGCTTTATGATTGTTGACATGTTGCGTCATTCTGAATGATGATTAAAAACTTTTGGAACAATGAAAAGTTGGCTATGATGGCTTTGTGATTGTCTAAAACTATCTCCTGTAGGGAAATTTATGATATCCTTGATCCAATTGTTTGGTTCTGTCAGGAACTAGAATAAGTTATCTTGCTCTACTTTATACAAACTACACATTGAAAGGTCCCAGAACCACTCCCTTGGATTTGAGGAAGCATAAAGTGACAAAATGATTGTAGTTATCTAGAAAGAAAAATCCAGGACCAGATATTTTATTATTTCTTATTCTTTTTTTATTCAATTAAGACTTTCCATACGTAGGAAAGGACAGTCATAAACTGATCCGTGCATTTGTTTCTTATGCGATAATTTGGGTGATTGCAGGATAAGGGAAGAACTTTCGTTTGGGATCTTGGTCATCATGAATATCTGGCCTATCTGCTTTATTATGTACTACAAATATATGCTCACTCCAATTTTTAAGCATGATAGTTTCTTGAACTCTTTGGTCCTTATAAAAGTAAATCAAAACAGCAAAGTTGGATTGGGTGGAAATTTAGTTTATGGAACTCTGACGTCCATAAGGTGCAATACCAGACAATTCAGGTAATTTTTAAATTTTTTTAGATTCCTCAGTTTTCTGTGGATGTATTTCAGGTACATTTTGCTGCCACAAAAGAAGCATTATCATTACATTTTTCAACATGTGGGATGGTGTCTAAAGTTGTGTTATTGACTGACGTAATGACTGGCCAACCTAAAGGGTACTAATATGTTTCTGTTATTTATCTTGTAAAACGTCTCTCCTTCTCTCTCCGCCCCCCTCCCTCCAAAAGAAACATATCTTAGGATATTAGATGATCCTATACTTTCAAATGGAGAGGTTATGCCAACTGTTCTTATATTTCCCTTTCAGATCGGCATATGTTGTTTTTATGAGCAAGGAAGCAGCTGACAAGGCTCTGGCCATGAATGGGACATCAGTCTACTCCAGGACACTCAAGGTGTAATTCCATTCTATATTCTCTCTTCTAGTTTGTGATCTACCCTCCAGTTATTATATTTCATGGGCTTTTCTTTTTTTGTTCTTTTTCAGAACGACATTAGGAATTAAAAGGATAGAACCTGACTCTACATGAGGCTAATCTTTTCTTATATTTTTCCACTTCCTGGCCTTAATAAGAGTCTCTCCTCCTAGTCTTTGCTACGCTTGGAAATATCATTGGGTGATTATTAGGAAGTGACGCCTTCTTTAATAGTCCAACCTCCTGGTTGACTCCTTCAACCAGGTTCACACCTGATAACCGTGATTCAGTCATTTTAACAAAATGCGATGAAGTTTTGTGTGGGTCATACATAGCATAGAGAGATGATCATTGGAACCATATATGAAGAAGTCTTCCTTTTAGGGCTTATGAGTGTGTGTGTGAGAGAGAGAGAGTAAACAATGTCCAACTGCCAATTTTATTCATGATTCGCAGATTGTAAGGAAGAAAGAGGCAGTTGTGAGTGTTTCCACGCCACCTTTGCTTCTGCAGCTGCCTGGAAAGCCTTCTCAGCCTCAAACTCTGTCACGACCACAGAAGAAACCCACCCCTACAAAGCCATATTCAACTAACCATTTGCAGTGGAGACGTGATACTTTGACAAGTTGTGAAAATGACCCAAATTCTTGTGAACCATCTCGTGTCAAAGGTGGTGATGGGTTTCAAAGCTCCGGTGTTTTGGATGATGGTGCCGCTCTTTATTTGGAGTACCACAAGGTTGTGCATTCAAACACTGATGTGAGAGCTAACTCAGAAACTTCAAAGGAAAGTCCAATGCATGCTTGAATTCTTAAGCTTGTGGAGCCTCTGGTTAAATGAAGGTTAGAAAGTGATAACCACTGTTTTACGTGTCAATGTTTTTGGGTTACAGGATCATCCTCGTTTCTCAGTCCGTCTTGGTCGCTCTCCTTCCTCTCCCCGTCTCTCTTGTTTGTTTCGGGTCGATGTTTGAATACTCCTTTTTGGGACGTGTCGCCCGCCCCTTCTTACTGTGATTTGGGTCCTCTCTCTCTCTCTCTCTTGCTCTAGTGTGTCTCAGTCTAGTCTGTGGGTTTATGTTGGGTCACTGGGGTCCCCTTCTTTATTGGGATGTCCCGCTTTATTACTCCGTTTCTCTCTCTCCCTCTGGTTCACATGGAAGGGTTTCATATTCTGTCGTGTATCTCATGTGAAGGATACTTAAAGGGTTTCCAAATTCAACTTTTTATGAAAAGGAGAAAAAAAAAGAGAAGCCAGTATTCTTTATATCTTTGTTAAGTTAACCTTTTAGAAATTTATTGAAAAATCCTGCTATAATATATGTATTTAAAAATAAGATCTGATGGTTTATATATTATATTCAAGGGTCTTAGTATTTTCTCGTTTTTATTTTATCCTTATTGCTGAGCATCCATGCGTATTTTGGGGGAATTCTTTGTAAATGTCCCTTATATTTTGCTGAAGGAGCTGGTTTTTATGCGGTGAAACCCACATATGTAGAAATGCGGGCCTATTGATAAATCTATTTTTGAGATAGATTTTCGGACTTAATTTTTAAGGACATGGAATCTCTAACATGGAGATCATGAATATGAAAAAATAAGTAAATTTTAAAAGGTACGGTTTGTATAGAGCCTAGGTTCTAAACAATCAAATTAGAGCCTACCTCCAAATAGTGTCGAGAAATGTAGTTTCAATGCTGGAAATCTTTTTGATACCTTTAAAATATATTTTCATTTTTATTTATAAAGTTTAAAGCTTCAAAGATAGTGTAGATCAAGAGATCTATCAAAACTTAAAAATCTTAAAAATTGTTAGTCCAAAAATGTATTACAAGATACTTTATTTCTAAAACTTGAAATCCATTGTTTCTCATGTTCATGCATCTTGATGTTGAGATGATTAATTTGAGGATATCTAGACATCTAAACAATCTCTTCTAGTGAAATTTTTGAAGTAGGTTTTAATTTGATTGTTTAGAGCCTTGGCTTTACATAAACTTTTTCCAATTTTAAAAGCTAGAGATAATAATTCTAGTAAGAAAATATTTGGACCGTTAGTGTCCATTGTCCTACTTGCATCTGCTTTACACTTTGAACCGCATATGTAGTCCTCCAGTCCACCTGAAACAAATTTCTTCGCTGAATTTAAAAGTATACGAAATATTTCATATTTTATGCCGTGTTTCACTTTTTGAAGGTGTTTCTTGTATTCTAATTTTATTTTTTAATGTTAGATTAAGCTCAATGTTTGGGTCTCCACGGTTTTCACCATTACGCAAGGTTTAAAAATGCGGTTCTGTGATCTGGTTCGTCATCTCAAAAACTGGTTCGGACTGATGGATCCCTCTCTAAGCCTTTTTCTGTCTTGAAAGGGGAAAAGGGGAAAATGGGTTTAGACATTGATGTCTAAATTGTACTGATGTTTTTCTTCTAACTTAGCTGATTCAGACATTTAATGTCCAAATTTATATCCCAATTAAAAGTCAACTTTGAGGGTTTATGCACACAATAAGTGTCCAAACCTGTCTCTTTCTAAGAAAAGCAAGCCTCTAGACGTATCACCCACTAAAGGAAAACCGACACCATGTGCCCAAATTGGAGGGTAATTTATGGATAAAAATTGATAAAAGAAATGTTTACATAATATATAATATAAAGGGTGTGATTTATATAAGGTGCCAACCTTAAATAATCAAGCCAATCAATCAAATTAAAGCACATTTCAAAAGTCTATCATTAAATGTAATGTAGGCATCAGAAACCTTTTGATGGTTTGAAAATATATTTTTGCCGTTAATTATAAAATTTAAAGCTCTAAACATAGGGTAGATCGAGCAGATCCATAAATACTTAAAAATCTTGAAAATGGATGGTCCAGATAATGTATTACAAGATGCAGTATTTTTAAGGCTTCAAAGCTCTTTCTTTTCATAGTCATACATCTCAAAGTTTAGACGATCACTTGAAAGATTTTCGGCTTCAGAGCAACTTTTATCGATGGGTTTTACTTCTTAAATCTATAGATGGATATTTTTTAAAAAAATATTCATCTGATAACATAATTTATCTATAATTATTCTTACATGATATTGAGGTTCCTATTTATGAACGTCTTTTTTTTTTAAAAAAAAATGATAGTGAGGGTGCTAGTTTGTTAATTTTATCCATTTTAGTCATTGTGATAGTTGGGAAAGGTCTTATATTATTCTAAACCAGGTTGAGGTTACATCGGCCCACTTACGAACCAAAGGATATTCTTTATATTTATAAAGATTTATGTCATACTATGATTATGTATTGACTAGTGATTAAAAATGGGAATCGGGCCTTGAATCGCAGTTGTTCAATTCCTATCCCTACGCAGGTGATTCTCGAGTTGGATAGGATTATAGTTCACGAAAAATTTGGGAAGAGAAAAAAAAAATTGGAGGTAGATTCGGGGTCGTTCCCGGATTCCTCAAACTGGAATTTTCTTTTGGACCATTTATTTTAGATCACCGGTATAAACACACAATTTTTTAAATTTGGGACTTTTTAAAGATATTCTCACTTTTCCATTGAAAATGAAAAAAGAAAATTAAAAAGAAGAAAGATGCCCCTTTTAGTAAACGCAGTCAACCCCGAAGTCTTCTTCTGCCTTCCACGAAAACTCAGTATTTTCCTATTCATTCATCAGTTTAAAATGACGACATATTTCCCAGAAGAGAGAGAGAGAGAGATAATGGAGTATGATGATGCAGATATGGCTTTCAAATGCCTTTCACCCATAGCTGAAACCTTGGACTCCATTTGGGAAGAGACGTACGAGGAAACCCAACAGTCGTTGCCTCTCAGTTTCAAAGGGAGCCATAGCTCTGAGATTCTAACCATGGAGCACACACGGATGGAACCAACTCAGATATCCAGAAATGAAGAAAATGGGTAAGAATCTTACAGTTTCATTCATGGCTTTGTTTGGGTTAGTTGTTTATCATCTTTTGCTTTAAATTTAGCAGAGGTTGATAGCAAACAATTACTTGATTCAAGTCTTGTTTTTTCTCCAAATTTTTGCCATTACTTAGTAAAAGTTCCTATGTTTTGACTTGTATCTTTTCTTGAATGTGTGTTTCAAATTGTATTACTTTGCACAGGCTAAGTTTTGCAAGGAAAGCCATTTAGCTGCCGAGTTTAGAGGTTCTATTGAAGCTCATTAATGGCTTACTTAGATAAATTTACTCCTGAATTTAGTGGAGCCTGAGCGATCACCAAAACTAATAGAGGAGTGGTTACATGATAGGTTTAAAGGGGTTACCTTCCTTTTTTGTTAGATCAATAGAAAAATGAAGAGCATTTTTGTTATATTTGCTAAAATGAAAAGGTAAAAGCTTGCTAATAAAAAGGCACAATAAAAACTCTGAAAATGTTATTTTCAATAGAAGAAAATCAACATATCAAAATTTTGCTAATATGCTCCTTATTGCATAAGGGGTGGGTTTCTATTTGTCTACCGATTCATATATGCATGCATTCTCTCTCCAAAATCCATCTTTTATATGGATTTTGGATCGAAATTTTAAATATCCATTATTTAGGCAATTGTGCTCTTGCATAATGTACTATTATTATAATAATAATAATAATAATAAAAAGTAAATAAATAATAAAAAGATAAATTTAAAAAAACTTTTTCAATTCTTTTGCACTGTCTATTTGGGTGCTCTTCTCTTAAACGCCCGGATGTGTCCCTGACTCACAAATAACTTTTTCTTGTATAAATTATTTATACATAGGAAGGCGGTTTCAAAATCCAAGTTATTGCGTGGGGAAGGAGGCAAAAGAACAGAAAGAAAATCATTTGCAATAGGGAAAAGTTTATGTAGAGCTGAGGCTCTAAACAATTAAATTAGACCCCACCTCAAAAAATTTACTAAAAGAGGTTGTTTTGATGCCTAAATATCTTCAAATTGATATCTTCATAAAATGTATGGACATGAGAAAAAAATAGATTTCAAGTTTTGGAAATAGTACATTTTGTAACGTATTTTTTGGCAGTCAATTTTCAAGATTATCAAGTTTTCATAGATCTGCTCGATCTACCCTATTTTTAAAACTTTAAATTATATAATTAAAAATAAAAATATATTTTAAGATTATCACGAAGATTTTCAATATTGAAACTACATTTATCGACACTATTTGAAGGTACACTTTACTTTGATTCTTTAGAGCCTAGGTGCTCTGTACAAACCGCACCCTTTTCAATAAGGCTAAAAGATATTTATTTCCTTGGGTAAAACCTCACCCAACATTAATTATAGTATCCGCTTTATAAAAACCAAATAAACCTCACTGTAAATCCTCGTCTGAAAAGCAGTTTCGTCAATGGAAATTTCCAATGCATACAATAAAATTTGAAACTCAAAACACCATACAAATCTTGCGAATCTTTGAATATGGCTATATAATTTGTTAAAATATACACAATTTTTAGAGCTTGAAATCTTAATTTTCTTTCACAATAGAGCTTGAAATCTTAATTTTCTTTCACAAACATAATGTTCAACGCGAGTTGATCAATGTAAATGTTGCTTTACTATTTTTATCAGGCCTACAGCCCTATCAAACCATTTTCCTAAATATGAAGGAATAATATGTAGTAAAAGAGAAAGGGGTAAACCGGGACGAGTAGCACATGCAATGTGTAAGATGCATGGTACATTCATAAATGAAAAGATATAACATGTGGCATACATTGTATGCTGCAATTTTTTGAATTAAAAGCCTTGTCTGCATGCTATGAGAGGAAATAAAATTGAAATTTATTACATTATTTATAAGAAACAAGCAATTTAAAATTATTTTTATTTTATTTTAAAATACCATAAAAAAAAAAATAGACGGCCTTGAAGTGAACTAGTAGTAAAGGGCCAAAACATCAAAAAGAAAAGTTTCTATGCTTCTCCTACGCTAGTGCGAGTTTAATAGAGGAATGGATGTCCAAAATTTGGTGTCAAGATAGTTTATAGAAAAAAATTAAAAATAAAATAGTGTAGAGACGTGACATTGTGATTGGAGTAATCTTAACCCTCCATTCAGAATAGATGGTTGGATAGAATTTCTATGTTGTAGAGAAAGAAAGCTTGCCCAACATTAAATACCCCATCTCATATGGATATTTATATAATTTTTTTAAGAAAATATACTGTCGTCCATATGGCCCATAGTCTTGTTACTAAGCTGATCTGCATATGGAAATCTTTCGGGCAATTCTGAGTATCATATTTTTATTTTTATATTTAAAAGTATTTAAAATAATATAAAAAAATTAATTGAAAATTATAAAATATTTATCTAAAATTCAGTTCTCTAACAAAATTAGAGAAATCCTTTTAAATTGGATCGATTCCCGTCTCATAAGTCAACAATTCAGAGCCCCGACAATATGTGGTCGATGCCATAAAATGGAGGGGTTGGCGTAACGAAGAGGGGTCACGGAAGGAGGCAAAAATGAGGGGAACTTAGGGACACGAGAGGAGCGACGGTTAAACTAATAACATACACATCAATCCCTTAGAGTCCCAGTCCCGATTAATCGCGGGTACTAGGGCTCGCCGCCCACGCGAACCCAAATTTCTTCAAGTTGGGTGCTTTATTCGGAGATAATAAAACATTTAAAAAAGACAAAAAATCTCAAAAAATAAATAATTTATTTATATTATATATATATATATATATATATATTATCATTTTGGTAAAGATTGAAAAGTATTTTGGCCATAAATTCTTATTTTTATATTCTCACCTTTTTTAGATTATTTTGAAAAATAATCTGATCGTCTGAGTCTTTTCCTAACTAATTAGGATGAATTATACAAATCTTGATCATCCATTCTTCTCTATTAGGGTTATACCTTCAATGATGTCATAAGTCTATCTTTTCTCACTACTTCCAACATGTCATTTTGGACCTACCTCTTATTTTAGTTGATTTTTTCAAAAATACCCCTAATCACAAGTTTATTTTTTAAAATCTATTTTTTTACTATTTTTAACCTAATTTTGATGCATTTTTTAATCTTATTTTAAATATAAATTTCCTTTTTTTTTTTTTCTTTTTGTTGCTATGGCCCTACTCAAGTCAAGTACTCGTATCGGGAATGATATGAATGGGCCGAGTACTTACCCTGAGCAGTGGTTAATTTAGTGGTAGACATATCAGTTTGGGTGCGAAAGGTCAAGGGTTTAAATCCTTCGAAAAAGGTTGTTTTGATGGTGGAAAAACATCAAAAGATCATCTCGACATCAAGAAGTATAGATATGGAGAAAAAAAGATATTTCAAGTTTTTAAAATAGTACATCTTGGAACACATTATCTTAACTAAACCATCTGTTTTCAAGATTTTTCATGTATTTATAGATA